GATGTGAGAGGAACTTGGTAATGGGGAGGCACTGTCTGTATGAAAAAAGCCACAATAGACAGGTCATGGCAAAAGTCTCTTGGACCTGAGGAGCCCTTTTTAGAGAGTGGGAAACAGGCGAGAGAAGAGGCTTATTTGCCTTGCACCGGGAGCATGTCCTTCTTGCATTAGAGTCAGCCCTTGCATCTGGAGAGGAGGGTGATTGCTGTTCTGCGGAACCTCGGTTCTACAGTGAATATCAGCTGAGAAGACATCCTGACTTGTCTCCAGTGGGTCTGCAGGGGAGGAAGGGAGTCCAACACCCCCAGGTCCTGCCGCTCGCAGGCAGAGCAGCCTAGGAGCCCATACCTGAGGTCCAAAGCTAAGCTGGAACCAACGCTACACGGAGAGCATCCTTTGTTGAGACTACAGATCTCAGGATAGAACGATGGGAGAAATCTGAGATGGTGCCTGCTGAGCACCCTGGCCAGTCAGTGAGGCTCCAAAACCTTTCTGAGGAGGACTTGCAGTCAAAACGGTGAAGAAGGTAATCTGTGCTCACCTTCTTCCACAACCACATCCAAATTACAACTCAATTACAGAACCATCCACCTGAAGACTAGATGAATAAAAGTCCCCTCAAGATATGAAGAAACAAGGATTAGACTAATAGGAGGGGCAGAGACGTGGAATGGGACGGCCCCACATGTGACAATTAAGAATTGGGAGAAGTATCTCATCTGTGGAGGGGCACCCCACACCAGACTCCAGCTTTTATATATTTGTTTTATTGACTTCAGAGAGAGGAAGGGTGAGAGAAAAATCAACGATGAAAGAATCAGTTGCTTCTTGCACACTCACTACTGAGGATAGAGCCCACAAGCCAGGCATATGCCTCGACCGGAATCCAACCTGGGACCCTTCAGTCCGTAGGCTGATGCTCTATCCGCTGAGTGACACCAGCCAGAGCTATCAGACTCTAGCTTAAAAACCTCCAAGGGTCTATGGGGAGGAAGTGAATTGACTAACTTCATGGTGAGGCTAGAGGGTTAGGGCAGCTTCTGGGAATGGAAGCAAAGGCAGGCACCACCGATCCTTTGTTGACAGGCTCAAGCTCTCCATTAACCTAACACTGATCTATGCTCCAACTTGCATTCCCAAGCCACTTCCAGCAGCTTTTCCACACAGGAGGCCTTCTTCCGTGGTGCTACTAAAATCTCTAAGGCCCCCAAACAAGCTGCTAGCCTCAGAATACCCTGAACCTCTGGCTAAGCAGCCCCCAGCCTGGCATAGTGACAATGAGTCTCAACTTGCACAGTAACTTCCACAGGTGTCCCCAAGTCCGACACTCGTGGCTAGCCAGCCTTGGTTTGCAATACAGCCTCACTCCAGAGCCTCCCAATCCCAGGACCAGTAGAACCAACCTTAGGTCACTTTGTAGCTCCCACCTGGCAGCCCACACGTCAGGGACAGACAGCAGCAGACCTGGACCTATGCTGGAGCCCGTCCTGAGACACTCCGGAACTAATGCAGCTGGTGGTTGGCTGCAGACTACATCAGAAAAACTAGCCAGCTCCACAAACGACACACCTGAAGGTTGGATGTGGTTGGCCCCAGAACCCCACTACAGCAACTTACACTCCATGGGATCAACCCCACCTCACAGCTAGTCAGCTGGAGGGTCAGGTGCAGCCACTGACATGCCAATGGCAATCAAGGCTCAACAGCTACAGGAGGGCGCACATAACCTATACAAAAGAGTGCCCTGGAGCACCAGGCTCAGGTGGCCAGGGAGGCTGAGCGTTGGGGCCTCACAAAATGCCTTCTACATAAGGCTACTCGGTGAAGACGGGGGGATGTAGCAGATCTACCTATCACACAGAAACAGGCAGGCAGCCAAAATGAGAAGATGATGAAGCATGTCCCAAATGAAAGAACAGAACAATAAAGTCAGAATGGCTACAGGATTCTCAATGAGCCAAAGGGAGGAATAGGAGAACTAGGTGAAATAATAGACATAAATAGAATCAGAAATGAAGAATATGTGAGAGAATCAACAGATTAGATGAAGCAGAGGACTGAAGCAGCTGGAAGACAAATAGCAGAAAACACCCAATAAAAACAAAAACTAAGATAGTTTAAGGGACCTTTGGGACAAGATCAACTGCAAATACACAATTAAAATGGCAGTTACTTCAGAATTCTGAAGTGACAAGTGATGGAGGATTCTGATTCTTGCTCCAAAGGGGAACCAACTGCCCACTAATCAATCCATCACAGCAATATCCAAGGTCGAAGACAGACAGATTCCTATTGTTTGACAGCCTAAGGAAACGGGGCCATTGGTGGTGGAAGCTGGAGCAGCCAGGGAGGGGCCAGCAGACCTGAACCTGCCTACACCCTGCCAAGCTCCAGGTGCTCAGAGCATACCTCACAGCCATTGCATCTGCACTGCACACATCCAAATTTTTCACAATTTACTTTTAAAAATCATTTTTTAAATGCCACTATACAATTACTGCTTGTCACTGCAGGGCTAGTGGGTATTTCCGTCTCAATAGGTTTTAATATTTGTGAAAGAATGTACAAAGGAAGTATTTTAAAAATATTAAACGAGTTATGAAGCACATTAAGCAAAGCAGAACAAATTTCCTAAGTTTACATAATTTTTGCTAATAAAATTGGGATGCAGAAAGTACAAAGTCTGATTAAAATATGGTGTTTTAAAAATTATAGTTTCAAATGTATATTCTATACAGAGTGACAGGAATTCCAAGAAAATTAATGGTGTTTTCAGGAATTGAAACCTATACCACCACTCATTGCCAGTGCAGAAGTGTTTGACAAATCACTTAAGGATTTGGAAATTTCAAGTAAGGTTTTAGTCTGTTTAAGGGCAAAAAGGTAGTTAGGCACTAAAACCAAAGATGGTAGTTAGGGAAGTTTCTAAAGGTACGTTACATGCAAGCAAACAAAAAACTATACATCTCCATCCTAAGGTTTATTCCCTGGATGGATCAGGCGTCTTCAAACTACGGCCCGCGGGCCACATGCGGCCTGCAGAGGAGTCTGATCTGGCCCGCCAGGTTTTTTGGGCAGTGAGCGCAGCCGAGGTGTTACAGTAGGAATTAGTAGTTCATATAGTCCGGCCCTCCAGCTCTCTGAGGGACCGTGATCTGGCCCCCACTTTAAAAAGTTTGAGGACCCCTAGCTCATGTTAGCTCTTACACAGCAAGCATCAGCTTATTGCTTCTTGGGAATGGCTGACTTCCCGCTCATCACACCCATCCCACCTACCTCCGCAGACCTTGGAATCCAAATCAAAGAGGCTGGCGCTGGGCATTCACCCTGCAAAGCCACACGTAGTAGCTCAGTGCACTATGGAAAGACACCTAGATTCAGAAGTCACACTTCTCTAAGACTTTAAAAAACCCAAAACTCCACCTATCGGGAAATCATCACTCATTAACATCTTGTGGTAAGAGGAACCTGACAAAGTTGCCACCCGGTTCCAAGCCTGTCTATCCTAAGGACCTTTGAGGATCCATGCTCTACAAATCCTAAGTCTTACTGTGGCTGACTCACAGCATCTTGGATAATTTTATACCTGCCTCTCTGGTACCTTTTCTGCTTTTCTGCCTCCATTCTGGAAACCAGGACTCCATACATTACCCCAAGGGCAGAGCAGAGGTACCTGGTTTGGGCTTAAATGCTCTTGCCACTGAGAGAGAGAGAGATCGTGCTGAGGTGAAACAGTGCAAACTCCCAGGCACTCAAAGCCCATGGAGACAGGAGGAGGTACTGCAGTGAGCCTTCCTCAGCAGATGCCTGTTCAGAGAGGCAAGCCTGGTTTGAAAGTTTACACTCAGAACATTTAAAGGGGACAGCTTTCCAAAGCAGCCAAAGGAACCCAGAAATCCTTCCCAACAAACATCCCTGGGAAGTGGAAAATTTTCCCTTTTAGAGTGCCGACATTGAGGGCCAATTGGAAACAGCCACTAGTAGTTCTGAATTATAAGACTATTCTGTCTTGTCACTGTGTGTATACTGTGAGGCATAGGCAATGCACCCTCAACAGACACCTAAGAACACAAGGCATGTGTGGTAGGTGGTTGGCAAGGCTGGGAGATTGCCTTTAATATCCTTGTGTTCTGAAGAAAGTACTAAAAATAAACAGTAAAGGTTTCAAAACACTGGGAGTCACTAGAGGCATCGGTATAAACGTGACTTTACCTCGTATGCATATACTAGTATGCATAACCCATGGATGCAGACTGAGCGGAGAGGGCCCTGGGACAGGGGCTGGAGGTGGGCTAGAAGGGATCGACGAGGGGAAAAGGGACATATGTAATACTTTCAACAAATATCTTTTTTAAAGTAAATGCATGGCTTTTAGATATATATACAAATAACTATGTGTATACACACACACAAATACATATTGTCTAGCTGTCTGGCTCAGAGGGCCTAGAAACAATACCCCAGTAGCAATGAGTGCTCCAAACACCCAGATCTTGGTTTCTGATGTGTCACTGAAAGGGACCAGAGCTCCTTGGAGAAAAGGCTAAATCTAGGGTTGGGGAAGGGAAAGTGTCTTTTCCTTTTACTGCCTTTATGTCTATAGAGTTGAATCCTTTCTACTCAGTGTTTTACTATAACCTTACCACTTTTGGTTATTCTGGCAGTTCAATCCATAGGTTGGTTTTATAGTGAATAACCTTTTCAACATCTAAAATTAAAGGACAACCACTAGCCCCCTCAGCTGCCTAGGAAGCAGTGGCTCACCTTGACTCCTCTATGAAACACCTGAGAAAGCGGAGAGTCTCCTCCAGGTCATCTTTGGGTAACAATGTCAGGCTCAGATGAGAGGTGTCTCCCTTCCAGGAGATGTCATTTCAAAAGAAAACAGTGAGACAAGTATGTGTATCTCTTAGAAGCAATGCAAACACCTCCCTGCCCTCCTCCCACTTCTGTGCCCTCACTCATCTTCCCTTTAGTTACTGCTCAACAAGACCAAAGAATTTATTAGTAGCTGTTTATTGATCAACGGTTTAATATAAAGTTATTTCAGATCTTCAGAATTTGCCCAAATGGAATCACAAGCATTACAAAGTTTTCTTTTTTCCCTTAAAAAAAGGATAGGGGGCAGGTTGGGAGTACTAGCAGTAGTGACATTTGAGAATAAATTAACAAAAAAGATTTAGTCTTATCATTTATTGGTGACAAACACTAAGTTTTACTTACATTCCATGGGAAGAAAAATTCCAGCGTAAACAATGAATCAAAGCAGTACTTAACTTGCAAGCTACCGTGCTTTCCATCTGGACCATGTGCAGGACCTTACCGCACACATTTCTGTGCCCAGTAACAACATCAAAAGCAACAGTTTTCGAAATAAACATAGGTCATTCTTTTCAGCCCTACATGGAGATGTACTCAACAGTATAAAGCACTCAGAAAAACCAATCTGCAGTTCTACATGTACTACATGGAGATCATATCCTGTAGTGTAGTGAGAGCTATGTGTCCTCAAGAGCCATATGTATATACACACAATTTTAATAACCTTTAAAACAAAGATCGAAGTTCATTTAAGTCCTGTTGCATTAAAAATGAAATAGCAAAGGAACCAAATGATCGTTTAAAGTTTAAAATTCCTAAATTGTCCAATTTATACAACTGTGGGAGACTTCATCAAGATTTCTGAGAAGTCCAGGACTGTTTCAGCTAAACCAGAGGGCACACAATTTGCTTCACTGAAATGGTCCTGGGTTAGTCCAATAAAATAAAAATGTATAACAATGTACACATGGATTTAATCTGCCGGTTAGATTATTGATAAAGTCAGTCTCAGAAAAGTTTCTAAACTGTGCTATGTAACTAGATACAACTGAGAAACTCAAATGAAAATTTATATAGTGTCATTTCAATGGAAAGAATGAAACAGAATATGTACGTGTATCTCTTTTGGAAAAGAAAGCAGTGGTGATGGTGATGGTGTCGGTACCACAGGAGGTGATGGGCCAGCACGCTAGAAGGTTAGTTTGTGCCGAGTAGGAAGCATTTGATTTTTCTCTGGTGCTTTCAGCCAAGGCCTCTCTCTGGCGTAGGTGTCCAGGATTTGTCCCAGTGTTTGAGTGAGCCAGTTTGAAAAGGAGTCTCGCTTTCTGCTTTCTTTTTCTTCTTTCACACAGCAAAAAAATACAAAAATGCACCTCAAAACCAAGCAATGAGGTGCCTGGGCATAGACCTGCTGGTTTCCAATTGAGCCAGGGCTGCTTGGCAGGGCCCATCTTCCCTCCCCTGCAGCAGCTGCTGCTGTGTGAGGACAAACCACAGCACACATGAACACAGCCATGGCACCTCCTTGCGTTGCCGCCTTCGTCACCACTGCTGTCTCCAGCTCTTTACCCATCATGTCTCTCGGCCCACTGGAGGTATCAGAAATTCCAAATTTTCAAAGCAATTTCAGTATTTTCAGTATATGTTGGGGATTTTACAATGGTTCATGGCCAGAAGGGGTTCAGCACCTCCCACACCTTTAAGGAAGAAAAAAAATGAAAATGACGCTCGTTTTGAACTTAAAGAGAATTACACCCATGATAAAAATAAATACATAAATAATATATAATGAAGCCCAAAAGCACAGGCCCTAATTTATGATAACTGGATTACAGTCATTTTCACAGGATATACTGTCAAGCAAAAAGCAGGGAGAAATGTGTGCATGGATGTTATTTGGAGGAGGAGGGAGGAGGAAAATAAGAAGTATATAATGTATTTGCATACAAAATGAGGAAGTACCCATATATAAGGAAATAATGAAAATGTGACTTATAGCTGAAACTGGTTTGACTCAATGGATAGAGTGTCTGCCTGCGGACTGAAGGGTCCCAGGTTCGATTCCAGTCCAGGGCACTACCTTGGTTGCAGGCACATCCCCAGTGGGGGGAGTGCAGGAGGCAGCTGATCGATATTTCTCTAACCCTCTCCCTTCCTCTCTGTAAAAAAAAATAAATAAATAAAAAATCAATAACATATATATATTTTAAAAAGCTTTAAAAAAATGTGACTTCTAGCTAGGTGGTGGGAATAATGGGATAGATGGGGACAGCTTGAGGGCCAGAGTTATACAGCATACCTTTTAAAATTATTTTGATTTTGGAAATGTGAATGTATTAATTATTCAAAATTAAATTTAAAAAGAAAGTGGAGCCGAAACCAGTGTGGCTCAGTGGATAGAGCGTCGGCCTGCAGACTGAAAGGTCCCAGGTTCGATTCTAGTCAAGGGCATGTACCTGGGTTGTGGGCACATCCCCGGTAGGGGGTGTGCAAGAGGCAGCTGACCGATGACTCTCTCTCATTGACGTTTCTAACTCTGTATCTCTCTCCATTCCTCTCTGAAAAATAAATAAAATATATATATTTTAAAAAGAAAGTGGAGCTGAGCCACTCAGTAGTTGAGCACTGACCCATGAACCAAGAGGTCAAAGTTCAATTCCTGGTCAGGGCACCGGGTTATGGGCTCAATCCCCAGTAGAGGGTATGCAGGAGACAGCCAATCAATGATTTTCTCTCATCATTGATGTTGCTCTCCCTTTGTCTTCCTCTCTCTGAAATCAATAATAATGTGGAGTTTTTTTTAAGTGGAGTTCTTTGCCCCAGACCTGGAAAGCTTTCCAGGGAACAGGACAGGAAGGGACTGAGGCAAATGTTTCACTACCGAGTTGAGCGGACAGTTTTTATTCAACGCAAACAAGGACAGAACTGCCTTTCCATGTAAATCAGCTCACTCACACAGACATTGGTCCATTTCCTGTTCTTGGCATTTCTGTACTTTGTTGGTCCAACTCAGACAGCAACTTTAAAATATTCAGTGCAGCCTAACGGAATAAAAAGAAAAGTCTGACCTTAGCCACTGCTTGAGACCACAGTATAAGACATTGATTAGGGAGGGGAGAGATTTCCCTATTGCCCAACGAAGAGGTGGTCCTAAATAACCTTTTTCTTTAATGTCTGAACTTGTAATTTAATGTTTACATTATTAAATCACTTGTTAATTTTATTAAATATTTCCTTCTATTCAATATTTTTTAACCTTGTGGTATTTTTAATCTTATGGTAACGGGACTGTTATATCCTGCTTTAAACCAAAAACCAATCATATTTCCTTGTTAGAATACATTATCTTTGGAGACATTAATTTGATGGATGCATTATATTTCATCAGGTGAATATGCCAAAGTTTATGCAGATAAATCAATTTCTTTTCGATTTTAGTATTTTTTATAACAAAAATTTCATCTGAATAGAATACCACAGTAAGTTAGCTGCTAGAACTTGGGCCTGTAATTCCTGCTTCTGGCAAGAGGTGGACTGAATATGGTATCTGGAAGAATTCCAAGATCCAAGGTCCACAAGGGAAGGGTTGGCTAAAGCTGATGATTTCTCATAAACATAATGTGAAATCAATCCAGGAGACTAAGGAAAAAATATTCAGAAATACGAAATCTATACAATAATTAACTACAATTTGTTGGAGACCCCTTTACCTATCTTTCTGAGACCAGTAACAGGGTGGAACCAGACCCCAGTGTGGGAGAACATACCATGTCATGGCAGGACTCCAAATCCTTTCCGATACCGTGGCTGATCAGAGGTGGCTGAGAGGAGCAATTGATAAGAGATACAAACTCGTTCTTGTTGTTTTTGGGGAAGTCTTTGTATTCAACCTGAGGAGGAAAAGAAAACTGAGGCCAGGGCAGGGAAGAGTGCATATGAACTGGACTATGGCTCTGGGCCCAGCGAGTGGGAAATAACACTTCACTCCCCCTGGTCTCAGCACCTGACATGCTCAGTCAGCCCTGAGGAGACCTGGGGCTGTGGGCAGAGCACGGCCCCAGTTTCCAGGAATCTAACTTCTAATCAAAATCATCTGGAAGAAGCCATGCCCTTTCCTGCCAGGCAGAGAGGGCCAACACAATGAATGTGTTCTCACTGAAATCTAAATTCTTAACGACCACTAGGTCACTTAGTTATTAGTATTGCTGGCTTGAATAGTTAAAATTTTATTAGCAAAAGTAATGGATTTTCTCTTACATACAGGCTTCTAATATTTTCCATTCCTTTCTACCCTTCCTCAGGATGACCCTTTTACTATGCTGGCCTTACCCATTCCCTAGACAAAGAACTTGATTTAAAGAAAAAGGTACAGCGCTGGCTGGTGTAGCTCTGTTAGTTGGGTGTTTTCCAGTCTACCTAAAGGTGGCCAGTTCAATTCCCGGTCAGGGCACATGTCTGGGTTGCAGGCAGCTGATCAATGTTTGGCTTCTAGTCAATGTTTCTCTCTCCCCCCCTCTAAAAGTCAATAAAAAAAAAATCTTTAAAAAAAAAGCCCGGCATAGCTCAATGGTTGAGCGTTAACCTATCAAGGCACATGATAAGGTTGTGGGCATAATCTCCAGTGGGGGTGTGCAGGAGGCAGCCAATCAATGATTCTCTCATCACTGATGCTTCTTATATCTCTCTCCTTTCCTCTCTGATATCAATAAAAGTATATATATATTTTTTTTAAATCTTCAAAACAAAACAGGAACAAGGTGCAAAGTTTGTTTTATGAGAGAAACCCAAAAATAACTGCACTGAGGTACAGACTACACGGCTCAGGCTTAGCAGCAGTTACCTGGAATCCCTGGACTCTGGAAAGATAATCCAACTGCTCAGAGGGTCTTGTGAGAGGTCCATGGGGTACGTGGCCTGAAGAAATATTATTCTTTAAAATGGTCTCAGCTGTGGGCGAGGTGCCCCCATACAACAATTCACGGGCTATCATGGCAGTTACTGTGGCCTTGGCAGGATTCGGAGCTGCCCGGGGAAAATCTTTGGTGTGATGTCCTTGACTGACTCCTACGGCCTGGGCCACCTCAGGCACCATAGGAAGAATTCCAGCGGGCAGCTGCTGATGACTAAGGTAAGGCATCCTAAATTCGTCCTCTTTATTGCCTATAGAGGGACACACAGACAATCAATGCAAGTGCACACACACTGCCTGCCTGGGAAGATGTTACAAAACCCCACCGTGGCCCATTCTCAGTGCACACATTGGCACATGATGATGCAGAACTGAACACATTGTAACTCATTCACTGGGCACCTACTATTATCAGGAACCGTGCAAATCCCAGAATCACATTCAGATTGAAACAATATTAACATCACACTTACTAGTCCCATTTTCATCCCCAGAGGCAGGCTCAAAAAAGGTTACTTTTCTTCCATCCCCTGGTTTCTTTACGGGTGTCTTTAAAACAAACAAACAAAAGGCTATGAGTATAAAACAAACTGTTGAAAAATTAGTTCTTCTCTCTAAGAAAAAATTGTGAATCCCAACCAGCATAATCTTTAACTTTTACACTCTAGGAATCTGAAGAGGCAATCAGCAGGAAGCCCTCCTCCCAAAGCCTGACCACGTTTGCTTTTTCCACCCAGCAAAGCCCGTGCTCCCCGCCAGTGTACACACCCGCCATGCCAGCCTGGCCACCAGAGCATCTGGCAGTGACCGGACCAAATGCTGAGCCTCCGTCTCGCTCACAGGAAAAGGGGCATTAAACCAGAAAAGAAGATACTAGATTGGCAGAGCCCAAAGTGGAGAAGCTATACAGTATTTCTTGGACCTAAAATCCAATTAAAAGATAAGGTGACATTTCTGTACATTGACAAACTTATGAGGAAATGTTACTACATAAAAATGATGTCAAACACAAGGTCTCCTTTCTGAGAAGGTAAGGTACCTGAAAGCCAAATCTAGGATCTACACAGATTCTCTGATGAGTGTTAGGGGTCCCACTTATTAACTATGTGGCCACAGTGAGTGCCACTTCTCACCACTGATACAACTAACTGGCAGAGGTGAATGTATCAGTCCTGGGTTTTTCAAGTTTATTTACAATATTAGGAGCTTACAGTAACTAGACACAAGGTCAGTCAAGGTTAAGGGTACTGCTTAACAGTCTTGGCAGAAGTAAAATTTTCAATATAGGATTAGTTTTATATAGTTTTAAATTTATAAAGAAACTAGTGGCCCAGTCCACGGATTTATGCACATTGGAAGGAAATTAAAAGAAATATCTTAACATTGCTATTCGCCCTTTCTCTATAATAGAAGTGTCAGCCAGCTTTCCCATGGTTCTGAGCGATAGTTGTTTTGTCTTTTAGTTGTAGTTTTGGTGTGGTTGTGAGAGACAGCACGTACAGGTGTATACCTTATGTCACCATCTTGGTTTCTCCCCATTTACTATTAAGATTTCTTAAGGGCATAAAGATTGCACCTACTATCAATTTTAATTTATGACATGGCATTCTTGAAAAAGTAATACTATTAAGAAATTCACCCTGGCTGGTTTGGCTCAGTGGGTAGAGCATCAGCCTGCAGATTGAAGGGTTCCAAGTTCGATTCTGGCAAAGGGCACAAACCTGGGTATGGACTCAATCCCCAGTAGGGGCATACAGGAGGCAGCTGATCAATGATTCTCTCTCATCAGTGATATTTCTCTCTCTCTCTACCCTCTCCAAATCCAGGACTCCTCAGGGAATTTCCAACGGCCAGTTTAGGCTCAATCCTGGGAATCAGGCCTAAATCATCAGCCAGACATCACTCTCACAATCCTGGACCGCTGGCTCCTAATAGCTCACCTGCCTGAATGCCTGGTTGCCCCTAATTGCCCCCTTGCCCCCACTGCTTTGATCGCCCGTAACTGCCCCCTGGCTGGCCTGGTCGCCTCTTACTGCGCCTCCCCCACACACACACTGCCAACATGGTGGCCCCCAACTGCCCCTCTGAAGGCCTGGTTGCCCCCAACTGCGCTCCCCCCCCCCCGCTAGCCTAGTTGCCCTTCATACCCCCCCACCAACCTAATTATCCCAAATGCCCCCACCCCCCGCAGGCCTGGTTGCCCCCAACTGGACCCTGCTTCCCTCCCCAGCAGCCTGGTTGCCTCTTACTGCCATCCCCAACTGCTGGCCTGGTCGCCCACAACTGCCCCCCCTGCCGACCTGGTCACCCCAACTGCTCCCCTCTGCCGGCCTAGTTGCCCCTAACTGACCCTCTGCCAGCCTGGTTGTAGTAAACTGCCCACCTGCGCCCCCCGCCCCCCACCGCCCGCCTAGTTGACCTTCACTGCCCGCCCCCCCCCCCGGCCAAATTATCCCCAACTACCTCTCCTTGCTGACCAGGTTGCCCCCAACTGCTCCCCTGCTGGCCTGGTCACTCCCAACTGCACCCTCTACTGGCCTGGACACCCCTCGTGTCCCTCCCCCCACCCGCCGGCCTGTTTGCCCCATGCAGCCTGCTTGTTCAGTCGTTTGGTCGTCCCTCACTAACCCCCCTGCTGGCATGGTCATAGGCAGCCATCTTATGAAGGCATGCGGATTAATTTGCGTATTACCCCTTTATTATATAGGATTGCCAGTGTGCACTGTATGTACCAGCTGGTCAGTCAGTTGGACAGATACATGATAAGTCACTTAGCCTTTTACATCCTCCTACACAATAAAAGCCTAATATGTAGGTGTCCAGCCCTTCGACCAGGCTCACTGATCACCAAGGAGCAGACGCTCCAACCAGTAAATTAGCTTGCTGCTGGGATCCAGCTGATCGAGACTAGGCAAGATGGGCCTGAAGAGCTCCCTCAGTCCCTCCCTTGCCCCAATTGTGCACCAGGCCTCTAGTATAGATAAGAAAACACAAGTCTGAACGATGGCTTTTGCCCTAACTCTAAAATCACACTATCTCAATGTCCCAGAAAAATCAAAGCCTGCTCCACAACTCACAAGAGCCCAAGTTGATGCATCTTTTATAGAGACCTCATTGTAAGAGTGCAAATGATAGAATCACACGTTCATTCATTTCAAACCCTATTATCCAGCAACCCACTAACAGAAAGGAACAAGCTGCTCTCGAGCAAAGCATCCTAGACCACAAAAATACTTGTTAATTTGACCCAGAGTCATTTTTGTGGCCATGAACATGCAACTCTTTTTCTGACTACATTAAAGCAGTCCAAATGGAGAAGAAGCTGCAAGGCAGGGCTGCTTTACGGCCAAGAGGTGCCAGAGTCCCCCAGGTTAAGGGAGGGGTCATCTTGCAATTAGAGAACAGGGGCACAGAGCCTCTAGCAGTCACCTTCTCTTCTGATTTGAGGGCTGGTTTGGTGGGCTGAGCCTGAGGGACTTTGAAACCAAGAATCTCCAGCATGTTCTCAGCTGCGTTGCGTTTTGCCACCTTCTTATTGGTGCCTGTTCCCTCTGCCGTGTGATTTCCAACCTTCACCTGCAGAAAGAAGGCAGGACACATATCAGTGCTTAAACCTTCAGTGTAAAGACCAGTCAGGAACTGATGTGCTGGCCAAAGAATCTAGCAATGGTCAGAATCCAGACAGCTTACCAGTGGCACCCGGGAGCTAGTTTGCACAGCCTGCGAGAGCAGACTGATAAATATGCAAGAAATGGGAGAGCTCATTGTTAAAGGCAGCCATTATCAAACAGTATTATATAAGCTTATAATTAAATAAATTATTTTAACAGATAATGAATACTTAAGACACATCACTTTCTAATTAGACTACATTTGCCAGTTATCTATGCTTTTGAAGTTCTTTACATGCTATATTTGAACATTTTTACTGATTTTGAGAGAGAAAAGAAGCGAGAGAGAAAGACAGAAATGTTGATGTGAGAATACATCAATTTGCTGCCTCCCGTATACTCCCTACTGAGGATCGAGCCCACAATCCAGGCCATGTGCCCAAGTGGGAATCGAACTGACAACTTTTTGGTGCACAGGACAATGCTCAACCAACTGAGCCATACCAGCCAGGGCACATCTGTTGTATTTGTATGGTAGAAATATTATATAATTGTGTGCCCCTGCTTATCACTTCCCGACTCCATAACCAAATGTGGAAACAGCCTTGATTGGGCTTTTACAACACCAAAATCTGCAAACACTATACAGAAAGAATTAAGTTGTTTCATTGCGTGTCTATGCTAGACTTAAGTGATGGAAAAAGGGTAATAATGCAGATTAGGTTTAAAAGTATGTCAAGTCTCAACTATGACATAACTAGAAAAAATTGAAAATTCTCCTAGTCTTCAAAAATTATTATGATTGAGCAGAGAAGTCACTTCTATTATTTACAAATAAGAGAAGTTCCAACATGTCTTTGATATTTTACTTTCATCTCACCTGTTAATGTAAACAAAAATACCAACCAATATTAATGCTAGAACTACACTCATTTGTCAGTGACGTGAGTAGCCTGGAAAGTAGAGGCATTTATCCATGGTCTGATTTTATAACACTACTGTTACTGATAGTCACACTGAAGCTAATAATGTACCCCAGTTACAATAAAGACTATTATACACGTGTAATATATGACTTATAAACTGTGTGCTACACACCTTACCAGTAAAATTTATAAAATATCTATGTATATATTTATGTACAGACATACACACGGTAGGGCAAAAGTAGGTTTAGTTGTGAGTACACAAAACACAGTATTCTTTTCTTTTTTTTTTCACTGAGACATTTTATTATTTGACTTCACAGATGATGAAAGGGAGGTTCCAAGGTTTCATTAAGTTGACCAAGATCACACAGCTAGTTTGATAGAGCCAGGATCTGAATTCAAGTTTTCTCATTCCAAAACATAATTTTTTAAAAATGTAGTATTTCAAGCTTTTAGAAAAGTACAGCAACTGAACTATAGAATACTAGTATATCTACCAATAAACTCTACTGAATTATTTGTGAGATAGTTCTATACTGACTTTATTTTATTTTTTTAATATATTTTATTGATTTTTTTTTTGCCCCCCTCCCTCCCTCCCAGATATCCCCTCCCTCCCCAGAGTTTTATGTCCATTGGTTGTACTTATATGCATGTATAGAAGTCCTTCGGTTGATCTATTATCTCCCCCCTAGATCTTCCTCCCCTCCCCGCTGTAATTTGACAGTCTGCTTGTTGATATACTGTCTCTATATCTATCTTTTGGTTCATCAGTTTATAATGTTCTTTATTATCCACAAATGAGTGAGGTCATGTGGAAAACACAGTATTCTTATATTAGTATTTATTATTGTACTACTTCCCATACGAATAACTGCAAACCTACTTTTGATCCACCCTGTATGTGTTTAGATCCATACATGCATCCTTCCACCACACTCACTACCCTCACCTGAGAGCTGGTTGGTTGTTAAACCTAATCCAGGACAAACCACAGCCTACAATCCCCTTCCAAAATAGTCTGAACCAAATCAAAAGTCCTATGTCACAAAATTATCAAGAAAGCCTTCCTGGCCTGTGAACAGGGGCCTAGGATTGGCACCTCACCCACACCCCCGACTAGCCATCTACCAGCCATTTGACGTCGGACAAGTTAATTACTGATCCTCTAAGCAAGCTGGTTTCCTCTCCTAGAACAGAGAGATCATTCCTCTTCTTGCCTGTGCCTGGGTAGGTGAAACACACCAAGCTAAGTAATGATGCTTTAAGTTGTAAACTGCTACACTAAAGCATCCTGATTTTCACCGGAATATGCTATTAAATGCAAATCACACATTAAGCTGCCCATGTGAACATCCGTTTAATAAGCTAAGTATGAAAAGAAACCCTTTGAACTAATCTAAAGTGCCACCACAATCTAAGGAAGAGCAACTTGGACTCCAGATTCCACAGGTTTACAAGGAACAGGAAGAGAACATTTGATATAACTTATATAAAATTTACCTTCTGAAAATAATATAACCATCAGGTAGATGTAATAAAGAAATAAATCTACCCAAAATCCCACTATCCCAATGCTCTTCTAACGGATCCATTTGTGTTCAAGCCCCTACCTGCTGACAGAAGCCCTGTACAGAGAAATAAGGCCTAAAGACACTAAGTTACTGCAAGCAACATGGACTTAACATGGACAACGCTGATGACAAGGAGCGGATCACTGGCCCAACAAGCTGGACCTGGGATCTCGTCAGGCTCCGAGGTGGGACAAGGTCAGAGCAGGGCCCTGCACGAGCTGCACTAACCCACCTGCATCACAAACTCCCTGCGGCGCGGGAGGCCTCGCTCTGTGAGAAGCATGTACTCCGGCTCCTTCTCCTTTTTCGCCTGTTGGATCTGGGCCAGTCTGCTAATAGGGTTCATCACCTGGCCATGTTCTGGGCCGCTTTGTACCTGAGAAACAATTATTACAGAAACCATATGTCATGTTAGTAACAGAAACAACCTTGCCAATTCAGAGATAAGGACATGACAAGAGTTACTTTTATATTGATCCAATAGCTCCAAATTAAGCTGCACTTTTTTAAAACTATTTTTAATTGAAAGATGTTCAGTGATTTTGTATGATTGTTCTGAAGTGAGTTTAAGGTCTTCCTGGCAAACCAATATCAACGTTTCACTATGAGTAGGCAAGCATCATTGTAATTCCTGCTTTTTAACAATTTCAACAAATTACAATGAAAAGGTAGAAAAAATAAGAACATTATTCCTAAAATTTTCCATAACTCTGTATTATAAGATGGGTTCCCAGCTTTCTTAACAATTACTCAAAATCCAGAAACCACTAAAAACACTAAAAGAAAAAAAATTTTTCTTCAAGCTGATGCCACATAGAAAGAATCCCACAGTGGGCATCTTCAGCTCCAAGGAGTCCTCACCTATTCTGACAAGGAGTGACTTCCAGCAGAAAAGTAAAATTGCTAAAGTATGCTAACTATTAAACAAATAAAGAAAACTTCAAAAGTATGCTAATTTTTCTATGTTTAGATACTAACTTATGTGTAAAAAAATTTGAAAGTTGATACAGCATGAAACCATATTGACAATACTGACTTTCATAAATGTCCCCTCATGGACTCCTGTCCCTTCTTTGGGGTTGGGAAGGAGAAGCAGTATAATTTTTGATAGATTCATTGGCATGACTCAAAACTCCAAATCAAGGTTTATAGTGAGACGTCTTGCACCTATACCTGCCACTAGCCAGCTTTCCTCCCATGAATCTCCTTCACAATGGAACAGCACAGCAGACAGCGAGATAGAGGAAGCTCGGTTCTCTGCTCTTCCCTCGAGTGGGCACTGCCTGCCCTTATGATCACAGGGCTGCGAGCACACCCACTTCCAACAGACATGTGCGAGCCTGCGGGTAACTCCACTGCACCCAGCTCAATGTCCTTCTCTCCCTGGCCTGGGACTCCCAAGAGAACTATACAAGGTGGCCGTATAAAGGATGTCTGGGCCTGGTGTGTGCACATTAGCTCCCTCCCCTTCTACTAGAGTCAGCAGCCAGCCTCCTGGGATCCCCAATCATCTGCGGGCAGTGAAAACACCCTCTTCATTCAGACAGGTGCTTACCCTGACTATTGGCTTTGTTTTCTTTTTGATTCGGGGCTTCACCCGTTGTTCAACTACAGGCAGAGGTGGTAACTTCTTCAACTCCTCAAGAATAGCTATAGCAGCGTTTTTCTTTGAAATCTTCTTGCTCTTCCCTTCGCCTTCCCTCACAAACTCCCCAACGGACACCTTGGTCACAAAGCTCTTCATGTGGGGTGGGCCAGTCTCCCGGGCGACCTGTTTTAGAGGGAAAGACTGAGTGAAAGCATGACAGACACTTATTACCAGCTGCAGGGAACACTGGTTAGTATACTATTCACATGAGACACAGGTAAAGGGGAACTGAGGACAAAATCCATTAAGTGAAGGGAGCCTAAATGTCGGCAAAATGAAACAGTGATCATGCTGAATACTTTTTCTCATTTTTCAACCTTGTTTATGTTCTGGGGTCTGAAGTGTCCAAAACAGGGAAACATTTTCTATTACCGCCTTCCTAAAAAAGTGGTTCTCATCTCCAAAGGGTCACAGAATGTCCCGAGTTTAGGGTGATCCACCGCAAACAGCACAAAAGAAGCTGGCCCAGCAAAGCCCAGAAATAATTGTTGCACAAAGAGTTCGAGTTTAATATTTGCTCTGAGCCTCCAGCCAAAACTGACTTTATTAAATATTGGTTGCTATGCAGCTGTAAAGAAGAATGAGAAAACCTCTAACACTGAAAGTGATTAAAACCTACTGGCTCAGTAAGTTAAAAAAGCAAACTGCAGCCGGGACCGGTTTGGCATGGTGGATAGAGAGTTGGCCTGCGGACTGAAAGGTCCCGGGTTCAATTCCGAGCAAGGACATGTACCTTGGTTGCGGGCACATCCCTGGTGGAGGGTGTGCAAGAGGCAGTTGATCGATGATTCTAACTCTCTATCCCTCTCTCTTCCTCTCTGTGAAAAATCAATAAAATATATTAAAAAAAAAAAAAAAAGCAAACTGCAGAAGAGTACATACACTGAGTGGCCAGATTATTATGATCTCTGAATGCATAATAATCTGGCCACTCAGTGTGTGTGTGTGTGTGTGTGTGTGTGTGTGTGTGTGTGGTGTGTGTATACGTGTGTGTGTGTGTGTGTGTGTGTACATAATACATAATAATAATAATACATAATAATATACATAATAATAATAATACATAATGATCTGGCCACTCAGTGTGTGTGTGTGTGTGTGATGTGTGTATAGATGTGTGTGTGTGTGTGTGTGTGTGTGTGTGTGTGTGTATTAGAGGCCCAGTGCATGAATTCATGCATGAGTGAGGTCTGGCCAGCCTGGCCAGGGGGAGGGGACATGGGCAGTTGGCTGGCCTGCCTGCTGGTTGAACTCCTGGTTGAAGGGACAATTTGCATATTAGCCTTTTATTATATATGATACACACTGAGTGGCCAGATTATTATGTGTTCAGATATCATAATAATCTGGCCACTCAGTGTACATGATTCCCCTAACTTCTATGTTAAAAATAGAGTTTTACATATATGTTTACATATACACATGTATGTATAGACATGTGCTTATATGGTGATTTAAAACACATACACACAAAAACAACAACAGCAGCAACAACACAAAAGAACAAGAATGACAAAGCAGAAAGCAACAAAATTAGTTTCAAACAGCAGGTGGGAGGGATTGGAGTGGAGAGGGAACAAGATGACACTTTCTGAATGTGTCTTTTTGTCCAGTTTTGACTTTCAAAATCAATTAGTGTTCTAAATATTAAAAATAAATCAACAAAGGTAGAGAAAAACACTAAAATGGAATATGAACAGAAACCTAACAACATATCAAAATTATTACATACTCACACAAAAAGAAAATAAAGATCGAATCCTACCCACCCAGCCAAGACACCCTTGGAAAAATCTAAGAAGACTTAGATGACCAGATTTCAAGACTTTCTATAAAGTTACAGCAACTGCAGCATCATGGTATTGTTGAAGGACAAACCGATCAATAAAACAGACAGAATGCAGAAACAGACCTATACATATAGTTGCTTGGTTTTCGGCAAAACACCAAAGCAAATCCAAAGTCATCTTTAAAAATATGGGAAGCATGACGAAACCGGTTTGGCTCAGTGGTAGAGCGTCGGTCTGCGGACTGAAAGGTCCCAGGTTCGATTCCAGTCAATGGCATGTACATTGGTTGCGGGCACATTCCCGGTAGGGGGTATGCAAGAGGCAGCTGGTCCATGTTTCTCTCTCATCGACGTTTCTAGCTCTTTATCCCTCTCCCTTCCTCTCTGTAAAAAATCAATAAAATATATTTTTTAAAAATATGGGAAGCAACTAGATATCCACATGAGAAAAAAAACTGAACCATAATCTCAAATTCAATCACCACCAAAAATTAACTGGCACTAGAATACAGACCTAAAATTGAAAACTAAAACTATACAGCTTCTTACTCTGGCTGGTATGCTCGCTGGTTAGAGCAAGGGGCGGGAAACATTTTTTTTTTTTTTTTACAAGGGCCATTTGGATATTTATAGCATCATTCATGGGCCATACAAATTTATCAACTTAAAAATTAGCCTGCATTTAATTAACCCACCCCTAATGCCTTGGAAAGGTCAGGCCAAATAATTTCGTGGGCCTTATAAAACCCGAAAGCCAGATGTTCCCCACCTCTGGGTTAGCACATCGGCCCGCACACCAAAGGCTCGTGGATTTGGTTCCTGGTCAAAGGCACATAACTAGGTTGAAGGTTTGATCCCTGGCCCGGTTAGAGTGCACGCAAAAGGGAACCAATTGATATGTCTTTCTCACATCGATATCTCTGTCTAATCATAAACAAAAAATTTTTTCTCAAAATTAAAACTGCTCATTAAAAAACGTTTAAAAAGTGAAAAAGGGGACCTATAAAATGACAGCAAATATTTGTAATATATGTATCTGAAACAAAGGACTGATAGCCAGAATATTTAAAGAACTCCTGCAAGTCAATAATAAAAAGATAAACTACTCAATTAAAGAAAAGCTTGAACAGGTATTTTACAAAGTAAGAGCTCTAGCCCTAACCCGTTTGGGTCAGTGGATAGAGTATGGCCCGAGGACTTTAGAGTCTCGGGTTCAATTCTGGTCTGATACCTCAGTAGCAGGCCTGATCCCTGGCCCTAGTCAGGATGCATGTGGGAGGCAACCAATCAATGTGTGTCTCTCTGTCTCTCCCCTGCCTTCCACTCTCTCCAAAAAAAAAGTCAATGAAAAAATATCCTCTGGTGAGTATTAACACAATAAACAAATAAAAATAAGAGCTCTATATGGCCAATAAGCATTTAGAAGTGTTCACCATCAATGTTGTGTTCCCAAGATGAGAAGAGGCATCTCAACAAAGGCCTTGATTGCCCTACACAGAAAGAGGTGTGCTAGGAAGAGCCGAGCTTGCACAGTCTCTGCAGACTGATTTTAGGGAGCTCCCCCACCACATCTCCTGACAGCCTAGATTCCGAAATTCTCCCTCCCTGAACAGTGCTCTCCCTGTCCTCAGAGCAGCCACCCTGAGGGCTCATGTCAAATTCACAGCCCCAGCCTGGCCCCTCAGCAGCCATTTTCACTGTCTAGTCACATCACGATCCCACCAATGTACACTTGGGAGTTTGACCTAGACTGTATTTACTGTGGTCAAACCACAACAGCTTCCCAGTGATTTTCTAACTAAAACTATGTATTTTATAAAACAATCAAATTGTATACTTTTTTTGAAGTACTGTATGCATGGCTCCTGTCTTCTACCAAACACATAACCCAGCTTCCTATGTGACAAAATTCACTATCAAAATCTTAGTTAAGAAAAAATATTCTGTTCATTTAGTCAATAAATATTTGCAGAGCATCCGATATATAACAGGTAATTTGCCGGGCACAAGAGATAGAATTGTTAGGAAAAAATGGAAGCCTTTGTTCAACCTAATAATGGAAGTTAATATGAACTTTTGATATGAGTTATTTAATATAGGTATTCATATCAACTGGTTTGGTTTTCAATGCCACAAACTGTAATGTTTTAAATTATTACTTTAAAATAAATACCGTATTTTTCGGACCATAAGATGCTCCAGACCATAAGACGCACCAGTTTTTAGAGAAGGGAAATGAAGAAAAAAAGATTCTGAAACAAATAGTGTCCTAAAATATTTTATGTGCATTAAAACCCAACAGCACAGTCATAAACACATGTAATCAACCCTGTAAAGTAAACAGCAGCATTTAGAACCATTTTAGAGCCGGGCAAGCACACAGAGACCACACAGAGCCGGGCAAGTAAAAAAACTTTTTTTTTAAAGTATATGTGTAGGCTATATTTGGACCATAAGACGCAGGGACTTTTTCCCCCCACTTCTGGGGGGAAAAAAGTGCGTCTTATGGTCTGAAAAATACGGTACTTTAAAAGATATTCACCACCAGAGGGCATTCCCACAATTCCTTTTGTGACTACTTGAGAACTCCCGGCTATAGTTACATGTTCTTGCACACACATCTGAAAGCCAAATCTGAAACCTAAGCAAAAGTGGAAGGGATTGAAAGACATGTGGTCCCCAATTCCCACAGAGCCACACCTAAAATGGCAATCCCTCACTAAGGTTCCAGAAAGCTCCATGACTCTCAGGCAGGGTTGTAACTAGTGTGAGCAAGTGATAAACTTCACAGGGATTCAAGGCCCTGGCCTAAGTAGTCATCTCTGTGACCCTGAAGTGACCCAAGAAGCCAGACATCTGACTCTCACAATCTTGATACCACTCGCTCCAATATTTGCAAATCCATTTTTGTGCCGATCTAGTCCCTCAGGAGGTGGCGAAAAGGAGCATTTCTTCCCTTCCCAAGGATACCTTGCAGCTTCTTAGGGTAAAGCTCCCTCCTAGTTCCCACCTAACGAGTCCTATCTTTCTATATGTCCCCCATCTCACTGCCTCTCCCATCCCTATCTCCACGGCCAACAGAGGGAAAAAGCTGGAAGGAATGAAGGTCCAGGTAAGAAGATACCAGCCCTAGAACCGCCTGGTGCTCTGCGCCCTGGAAGGGGAACAATATAAACCTGGCCTTGAATGCCAGAATAGGGAAGGGGTAGGTGTGGGGAATGTGGGGTGGCCCTGATTCAAGTGCACCTCTCCACCACCACCTGTGCCCCACGGCAGGCAAGTTAGCATTGTAAGCTGTAGGAAAGAAATCATCATCAATAGGCTGATGGCAGGGATAGGGAACATCTGGCCC